GAAGAAGAAGAGGAACCCAGACCAGGGGTTTGCAGGTCGGTGGATATGAACCCTCCACATCCCCTTTATGTTTCCAGTTTGTGTCAACAAAGATGGCCGAAGAAAGCCTCATCAGTAGAAAGCAGAAACAAGAATTTATAAGAGATTCTTTGGTGGTTTCTCAACAAATTGAGAAGCGCAAATTCCTGATCATTGGGTAAATGTTACCACGTCTTTGTATCTACAATTTCTGTCTCTCTTCAAGCAAATGAATTGGCTTTTTGACTCGGATGATACTGTTTTAGGCCTGAGCAGAGCTCTGGGTTGATGCTCTTTCTCTGTCGTTTTGTGGGTTTTCTAAGAGCCTCGGAAAAGGCAGCTGGAATTTTTCTTGGATCTTGAAGGCGTTTCTCCCTCCATCTGAAAAGCTTCTTTGGTTCTAAGCTCCACGGTGGGGAGAATCGGCTTTAAACAGTGAGGTTTTCAGCCTTTGAAGTGGACAATTGAATTAGTTAGTAGAGCTGAGATAAACTCAGAGCAAACCAGAACCGGTGTTTTTTGGAACTGGCTAAGCTGGCCGGGATCCACTGAAACTCCCTCTGATTACGGAGAAACACACTGAAAAGCTTTAGCTAACACAAACCTTTGGCTCTCCTCAGGTCTTAGAGGGAGAAGGAAAAACTTCCCAGCATGCACCAGCCACACATTAAACAGCAGACTTATTTAGCCTGAGCTAATCCGAGTTAACGCTAGCTAACACGGTTACCCGACATTGTTTCACACGCTGAAATAGACCTCCCTCTGGACCCGGTTGTTAGAGTTAATAGTCTAAAATAAAAGCAAGCCAGCGGTGATTGGATCAAACTTTAGGCATGGATCACCTCCTGTCACGCCACAGAACATTAGCCCGTTCGTTTGGTGATTAATAGTAATTGAATCCAGTGTGCTGATACCTCTGAGCTTCTGCATGTGATGGATAAGCCTCCTTATTGTGTCTTCCACAGAGGAAGGTGGTTATGTGTAAGTTATTTATCTACTTACTTAGCTGTCAGACTCATGTTGAACAGGGATTTACTCTGAAAACAACTAGCCAGCTGAGTTAGGGGAGTCTGAATAACTCACACTGGTTGGTAAAGAG